TCCAAGCATAAAAACCATAATAATATCTAAGAATAAATTTAAGATATATGAAGCATAACTTAAAACTATGCAACTTTACTGAGCATCATAAAAATACTTGAATAAATGGAGAAATAGCATGTGCTTTTAGATTCTTCAATATTAAAAGATGCTAATTCTTTCCAACTAGTTTTATAAACACTGAAATTTCAAACAAAACACCAAAGATTTTTTTTGATAAAATTTTTGTTGAATAATTACATACATACATACATACAAAAAGTACATGGAACTATACATCTCAACAAATTTGTAATTATTTTAAACGGGTTTAAGTTCAAAGTTTATCTGAAGTAAAAATGGAGCAAAATATCCTATAAAATTGTAATGTAAAAAATAAAAATAAAATCTGAAAAAATCTAGAATAATATATAGCTTAAAATTTAGGATTTGTAAGCATGCCATTAAAAATTGAAATCACAGGGGATCCCTGGGTGACTCAGCAGTATGGTGCCTGCCTTCAGCCAGAGTGTGATCCTGGAGTCTCAGGATCGAGTCCCTCATCGGGCTCCCTGCATGGAGCCTGCTTCTCTCTCTGCCTGTTTCTACCTCTCTCTCTTTCTCTGTGTCTCTCATGAATAAATAAATAAAATCTTAAAAAAAAATTGACAATAAAAAAGATTAATAGACTTGTCTACATATGTTTAATACCTCTCTGTGGTGAGTACCATAAAGTTAAAAGGCAAATGACAAATTAGGAAACAGTGTTTGCTATTTTCATTATGTCCCAGGCAGTGTCTTTGATAAGAACGAGGTGTGCTGTATTCTAATGAGTGCATGTGCAGATCCTGAAGTCAGTTTGCTTGGATTTGAATATGAAACAGCCCACTTACCAGCTGTCTTAGGTTGGGTTCCCCAGAAGCCGTGGCTGAGAGGAAGATTTTTTATACAAGTGACTTATTGATGATATTCTCTTCAGTGAAATCTGGAGGAATCCAGGAAGCAAGCTAAGTCAGGGGGATAATCTAAGCAAAGACAAGAGTTCAAATGAAGCTTCACTTAGCCTGACCTCACTGGAAGATCTGGAGCCAACATGGTACCATGAAGTCCTTGAAGCAAGCAGGCTGGGCCTTTGTATCTCCTAAAGCCTAGCCCCATCTATCCCTTTTTCAGTTTGGTGATTGCACTTCTGTATCATAGTTTATTTTAGGTACCCTTTTAGGGGAAAGGGAAGATATCAATAATTGGAAATTGCATTAGTCAGTCATTGTGTGCAGGCCATCCAAGCATTTGGGTCAGGCTGAGGACAATTTTCCAGAGAAGGGTGCAACTCTGAGTTGTTAGCCACCAACCATCATGGCAGCTAGATGATGGATGGATGCACTAGGTGGACAATGGGATTGGGGGATAGCACTAGCACCATCTTCTAAAACAACTAAGTCATCCTGATTAAGCTACTTAACTCTTTGAAGCTTCCATTTCCTCATTTATAATGGAAACATATCGATGCCATTGGGTGGTAGGAGATATGGTAAGGAATAGTATATGTCAGGAAATAGTCTAACAAAAACACTCAAATATTAGCATTTAGAGAGTTTTACAAGTCCAAACATTCACTAATAGCAAGATGGGAAAATTACAAAGACTGGTAATGCAGATGTGAAGAAATAGAATTATCCAAAATATGGGAATATTTTCTATTTAACTATAATTATAGAAATGCAAACTTAAAGTGAATTACTGTTTATTTCTTATTAAAGATAATACTCAGTGTTGGCAAGGTATCTATGTGTGTATAGAGCAATCTCTTAAATTCCTATTAAGAGTATAAAATGATCGATTGTTTTCTGGAGGGCATATTGGAAATCTATTTGAAGCTTTTAAATCATGTATACCTTCTAAAATGTGCATTCCCATTTCCAAGAATTTATTTGCAGAAAATCTGGCATGGAAATTGGCAAATACTTAAAAATACAAAGAAGTTCATATGTAGTATTATTTGAGTATTGGAAAATTGGCATAAGCTGATAAATCAGAAAGGAATAATAATGACAAAGCAGTTACTATAAAGAATAATGGTATAAAAATATATTTTTAAGAACAATTGGAGGTAATATACACCAATGGTGATTATCTTTGTGAGACAAGTTATTTTTACCTTATTTGTGCTTATTTGTAGCTTTCTGATCTTTCTACAGTGAACAAGTGACACAACAATAACCCATAAGCTTCAGGCTTCTCAGTAGGAGCTCAAGCCTGTAGGTATAAAATTTGAGGATGGCCTTTAGCCACAATTTAGTTATTTTTGATTTCATACTATTTCTGCCAAACATACATTTGTAAGCAAATGCTTGGAACATATTTAAAGAAAGAATGAAGACCAAACAGTTTCAAGAAAACATATTTCTTAAATACACAGACACACATCACTATGAACAATGAGTGTGCATCTCTACCCAGGGAAGAGAAAGAGAACCTTTTGTATAAGAAGTGATTGGTGAGGGAACAATCTTAGGCTGTTGCTTTGAAACTTGATTTACACTCATTCGAGGAACTGTTTCTTCAGTGTACTCATTTTATTCTCTCTTTAGGCTCATTGCACATTGGGGCAAGATAGCAAACTGTATTGATCAGAATCACAATAGAAAACAGATGGCACAAATGGGGTAAGTGAAGAGAGGAGAGCAAAGGGACAGTTTACAAAGATGTGGGCAAGGCTCAGGAAAGGTACAACATCAGGGCCAGCTAGCAATACCAGAGAGAGGCTGAAAGAATGAGAAGGAGGAGTTGTTATTTGAACCTCAGAGAAGCTCAGGTGAGAGATGCAGGGACTCAACAAAAGTCACCACACCAATCATGTCGGGCAGCTGTCCCCCAAATGTTGGCTCAGCATTTCAGGCAGCTTCAATGTCAGGGCACCTCCATACCAACACAAGTGTCCACAATCCTCATAGCAGGGGAAGAGAGGACACAGAGAAGCCCACAGCAGCTCTTCAATGCAGCTAACTAGAGGTGATGGGTCACTTCAATTCACATCTCATTGGCCAAAGCAAGTCATGTGGGCCTGCCTAACTATAAGGGGCTGGGGAAGAATCCTTATATGCACCCAGAAAGAAAGGAGAACTGGAAACACTGGTGAAAAACACAGCTGGCGAGGGACCCATATTCTTTTACCCAGCCTTGGGACATACTCTATGCTGTGCCGTGTCACAGTAGCCACCAGCCACATTGAGCACCTGAATGTGATTTGAGATATGCTGTCCCTATAAAATATACCTCAGAGTTCAAAGACTTAGCACAAAAAGAATACAAGATAGCCTATTTATGATTTTTATTATTGATTATATGTGGAACACTAATATTCTTTTAAATATTGGGTTAAATAAAAATACATTATGATTTATTCATTTTATCTATTTTTCTTTCTTAAATGTGGTTTCTAGAAAATTTTGTATGCGGCTTGTGTTTGTGGCTTGCATTATAGTGCTATTGAACAGTGCTGCTCTAGAGAGTTCTCTTGGTTCCCAAGAGGGTTTCTAATAGAAAGAGATAAAGAATTAGCAATCTCTGCTAGGATCCTCTATAGGATGAATCATTATTTTAATTGCTCCTGTATCTAATTAGCTACACAAGTGTGAAGGTTTTCTTTATTTTAGCATCTAATTTAAATTCCTTTAAAAAGATTCAGAATCAGTTTTTTTTTTCTTTCTCTCTCTCCTCCATAAAAGCAAAGCACAGGTGGTTCATAGAGACCATTATCCCATGGAGAGACTTTTTTATAAAACGTGTTTAAATGTCACTCAGTTCCATTAAAACAAAGGAGCCATTCAGCAAATGTGTTGCTTCTTAGTTTTTTACTTTCTTGTGGAAACTAATTTTGAGACTTTGACTATATTTTTATGAGGAAAGAGGGTACAGAGAAAGCCGTTAAGTTTACCTTTTCCTACATATGAAGAGTTAAAGTTGTAAGAAGTCCTTGAATTCACCTGGAAATATGGTCTAACAGTAACTATCCTATGGCCTGTGCAGAGAAATGCCTCCTTTGCTCCTTCAGCTTACTCCTTCTCCTAGTCCCAGCTCTTTGCCCTGGAGGCTGACCTGCTGGTCTGCACGGAGAGGTCTGGAATGGAGAGTTCTCATAGAGACCAGGAGGGAGGGGATCAGGGTCACAGTATCTATTCACCTGTAAATATACAGCTGAGGGCTGTATATTTAGAGTTGAGTCAGGAAAAGGGTATCACTCTAAAAGGAAGAATTTAATACAGAAATTAGAGTATTGACTGAGTACCACTGCTTTTCTTCATGACTTCTGATTCTAGTGTTTGCTCATTTTGCTCCTCCTTGTGGATCTAGGAGTGGTGACAACTTTGCTGCTCTTACCCTCAGGCGACTGTCCTATCCCTTGTGATTCTCTAGTACTCCCTTGAGTACTGTGCCATCCGCATTTGATTGTAACCCTCGTAGTGGGCCTGCTGGCATTTTGTAGGAGGGCTGCATCAAGACAAGAGGTTTTTGAGTGTCCTGGTCAATAATGAAGGACAGAGGAGCAACATTTTGAAGGTATTTCCTCAAGTCTAGGAACATAAAACAGCTTTTCATAAATTTCTGCCTGGTATTTACAATGTCTTAGAACAACGAACTCTGTAATATGCCTGAGGTAAGAAAGAAAGTTATCAAGATGCATTTTGTATGTTGCAGTTTTCTCTCTGGCAAAGAAATGTCAATATTTGAATTGCACATTAAGCTCTACACTCATCAATTCTTGGTCTTCTAAGAATATACTTGTACTTCTTTTAGATGGGAGGTTGAAATACTTCCTATGTTTCCCCACCTGTACAATGTGGGGTTTGTTTAGACTAGAGTATCTTAAATATCTCTGTGCATTAACATTCTGTAAGTTTATGATATTTTAGTCAAATTTGTAAAATATAATTTTTTGGCCTTTTGCTCAGGAGAGGTGAAAATGCGATTCTCTTTGGTTGTTGTGAATTCAGGTTCATCCACCAAAAGCCACCTCCACCATGCCGCCTAAGTTTGACCCCAAGATCAAAGTCATATACCTATGGTGCATTGGTGGTGGGGAGGTCTGTAACACGTCTGTCCTGGTACGGAAGATCAGGCCTCTGGATCTGTCTCCAAAAAAGGCTGGTGATGACATTACCAAGGCAACTGGTGGTTTGAAGTTTCTGGGGATTACAGTGAAACTGAACATTCAGAACACACAGGCCCAGCTGGAAGTGGTACCTTCTACCTCTGCTCTGATTATCAGAGCCCCCACAAGGAACCACCTAGAGATAGAAGCAAAACACATTAAACACAGTGCAAATGTCACTTTTGATGAGCTTGTCATTGCCTGACAGATGTGGCACCGATCTTTAGCCAGAGAACTCTCTAAAACCATTAAAGAGATTCTGGGGACTGCCCCATTTATGGGCTGCAATGTTGATGGCTGTCACCCTTATGAAATCATAGATGACATCAATAGGCATGTGTGTAGTACAAAGCCCAGCTAGTTAAGAGCTATGAGGGATCATTTGACAACCAAAATATATATATATATATATATATATATATATATATATATATATGGAATAACATGATGACGTTAATGTGTAGGCTTCTCTGAAGTGCTGGGCTGAATATTTTGTGAAACAAAGTTCACCTTCCCACTTAAGAAAATCAGAGAAAAAAATTTTTAAAGATTTTATTTATTCATGAGACACACACACACACACACACACACACACACAGAGGCAGAGACACAGGCAAAGGGAGAAGCAGGCTCCAAGCAGGGAGCCCAGTGTGGGACTTGATCTCCAGGATCATGCCCTGGGCTGAAGGCAGGCACTAAACCACTGAGCCACCCAGGGATCCCAAGAGAAAATTATTTTTATTAATGCCTTTGAAAGCACCATATAAAAGAGTGCATGGTCCTAATAGCACCAAGCCAAAGTCAGAGGTCAGTGAACAATGGCCCAAGGGTCAAATGCAAACTGCCATCTGTTTTTGTAAAGTTTTATTAAAACACAAGCCATGCTGATTTGTTTATGTATTGTCTATATCTGCTTTCTCACTACCATGGCGTAGTTGAGTTGTTACAACAGAAATTGTGTCAGTCCACAAAACCTAAAATGTTTACTACCTGGCCCTTTACAGAAGTTTGCCAATTCTTGGCTTAAGATGAGTAAGCAGCTCTCTTTAAGTAAAATTCCTATTCAGGTTTTTCAGGTGTGACATATCCCAGACACTGATAGCGGGTAGTTAAAGGTACAAATAATTGCCCATTTTGAAAGTGCCAAAATTAAGTGCTCACTTCGATAGCACATTTACTGAAAGCACCTAAATTATAAAACTTGGTTTGTATGACACTTGAAGGGCAGCCTGGTAATCTGAGGATTTGAGCTCAATTCTATTCTTTACCAGTTTAACAATCTTGCGAGAGTTACCTCATTTTTCTTAGTTGTAGCATCACATGAGATAATATGTGGAACACCTTAAATTTCCATCTGAAAGTAAAAAGTTATTAAATATTAATTTTGACGCTGCAGAAAAGGAAATTGTAAATCTCTGAAGTCAGAAGGTCTGAAAATGCATCATATGTACCTAGAGCTTAACATGCAATGTTCAGTAAACAATTGCATAGCCATCTTCCCCCCATTGCCCTTAAAAAGCCACTCCTTCAGCAAAACAAACAAAAAACCCTTGAATCTCTCAGGCAGGTGACATACTAGGAATGATGCATGGAAGTGAGAAGCTCAACAGCAGAATTTGGAATGACTGCTGCCTGGCAACTGTGTACACTAGGACCCTGGCCAGGAAGATATTGGGGTTTCATAGCTCTCAAGCTACAAAGGCATCTGCAGTTGGCTCCAGGAAGAGGCTCTGAAATAGAAGCTTCCAACTATGTATTCATAGGGGACTTGATTTCTAAATGAGGAACAGACAACCTGCTGAGAAATACCTGTGTTTCTCAAATTGCAAAGCTGGAACAAAAGGGATTTAGTGATGCAGAGCAAGGAAATCCTCAGGAACAGACTAAGGTTTAAAAGGATCATCCTTATGTATTTATTTTCAGAACAATAGGGGATTTTTTTTAAAGATTATTACAAAGAAGATCTAATTCTTCCTTTCTGGTTGTGCAGGGTTTAAAGTCCAACAATTCACTCCTGTTTCTCTGCCTGAGCTGAATTCAACAGATAAGAAGAAAGTCTTAATGATTAATAAGCCCTCTGGAGCAAGAAAGGGAGTTTATTTTCATTTTACAGATGAAGAAACTGAGGCCCTGAGGGATCAAAACACCTATTTGAGGTCATATAGTTCTTTCATGCAGAGTGAAAATGAATTCCTGGGTCTCTGATTTCTTTCTTTCTTTCTTTCTTTCTTTCTTTCTTTCTTTCTTTCTTTCTTTCTTTCTTTCTTTCTTTCTATGATTTTATTTATTTATTTATTTATTTATGACACACACACACACACACACACACACACATACACACACAGATAGAGACACAGGCAGAGGGAGAAACAGGCTCCATGCAGGGAGCCTAATGTGGCACTTGACCCCAGGACTCCAGGATCACTCCCCGGGCCAAAGGCAGGTGCCAAACCGCTGAGCCACCCAGGGATCCTGGGCCTCTGATTTCTGCTGTACTTTTTTTTCTCTAAAGCACCCTGCTTCTCCAGAACCCTCAGCTTAGGTAGACCACACTGGTCCTGCCTCTGACTTACTGCATGATGCAGGCATGCTGGAGGATCTTTCTGTGGCTTTTTTTGGTCCTCTGTAAAATGGTTCGAATACCCATCTATCCTTCCTCATAAGGATGGTAAAACTCAACTGGCATCACAGACATGAAATTGTGATTCAGTAGATATGGCAGACACTTATTCCTTTCTATAAAATCTATTCCCTTCTTCTTTCTTAACCTGATTTTATTCCAGCAGCCATAGACCCAGTCACAGAGAATAAATCATGCTTAAACCATGGGAGCCAATGGTAGTCCCATCCCCTTTGCGAGTGATTACCCTAGAGATTGTCATGTGACCCAGAACTGGTCAGGAAGATAGGGAGGAAAGCCTGGAGAGGGGTGTGGAAGATTTTAAGAAAGTTCTGCTCTACCTGTTAAAAGGCACAAGTGGTAATGTGAAGGAAAGTTTAAGTGTCAGCAAAGGATGCTCTCAGGTGAGATGGAGGACATCATGAGTGGAACAAAGCAGATATCAGTTACAAGCTCATTCACTTTTTCAGGAAATATTTACAGTGTGTTCACCATGTGTTAGGTACTGGGAAATACAGCAGAGAACAAGCAGACCCAATTCCCTGGTCCCGTAGAGATGACACTCTAGTGAGGGGACACAAGATAAATAAGCACAAAATGTAGTATATTGAGGAGAAGTGTAGAAGAAACAGGGGAAGGCAGGGCTGGGAACATGAGTGATTGGGGGCCGAAGTTTTAGACAGGGCTGTGAAGGATGCTTTCATGGAGAGGGTAGTTTTGTATAAAAGCCTGAAGGAAATGAGGAAGGGAGCCATGATGAAATTCACAATTTAGAATCATCTTGTCAGAGGGCACAGCCAGGTGGTTGATGTGACTGGAGTAGAGTAAGCAACATGGGGAAGGATAGAAAGTGTGAGCAGTGGTATCGATTGCAGGTCATCTGGAACCTTGAAGCCACGATGGGTCTTTGTTTCTTACTCTGAGTCACAGTGGAATCCATTGGAAGATTTTGAACAGGGAGATGACAGGATCTGACCTTCATTTTAGCAGGATCATTCTGGTAGCTTTGTGCAAACAGACCGAAGAGGTACAAGGGCAGAAATAAACCACTTGGGAAGATATTTATAATACAAGTGAGAGCCACTGGTGGTTTTGGCCAAAGTGGTAGTGGAAATGTAAGAGGTGGTCCAGATTCTGGATGTATCTTGAAGATGGAGTTGAAGGGACTTGTTAAAGATCAGAGTAGGGTTTGAGGGAATTGAGGACAACTGAGGTTTGGGGTTTTAGCACCTGGGATGGTGTAGTTGTCATTTACTCATTGGGAAGACTGGGAAATGTATGCTTTGGGAGCAATGTCAAAAACTTGCTTTTTGGGCAGCCTGGGTGGCTCAGCAGTTTAGCATCACCTTCAGCCCAGGGTGTGATCCTGGAGACCCAGGATCAAGTCCCACGTGAGGCTCCCTGCATGGAGACTGCTTCTCTCTCTGCCTGTGTCTCTGCCTCTTTTTCTCTCTGTGTCTCTCATGAATAAATAAAATCTTTTTTAAAAAAAACTTGCCTTTCATCTTGTCTGAGATGCTGAAAATTAGTCATCAAAAAGGATATTTCATGTAGGCAGTTGGATAACAAGTTCAACAAATTAGGCATTAATCAAATGGAAGAAACACCAAAAATGTGTCTTAGGGAAGCATCTGGCTCATTGTATAAAAAGCAGGGTGATTTCTTCAAGCCTGTTTCCTCATCATTGAAATGGAAGTAACAGCCAGTGTTGTGTAGGTTTAACATGAAGATAAAAGTACCTAGTACTTTCTCAAAATGTTTTAAAATAGTATTCAATGTCTCTGTAGGATGAAGTTGGGATTCCATTCAGTGTTTGTGGCAGTGTAAGTGGCAAAAAGACTTTCCGGGAAGTGATCTGGCACCGTGCAACAGCAGCACAAACCATGTGTGTATGCTCAGATCCTATAATTTTATTTGTGTGTGTGTTTTTAAGTTTTTATATGAATTCCAGTTAGTTAACACACAGTGTAATATTAGTTTCAGGTGTGCAGTATAGTGATTCAGCACTTCTATCCATCACCTGGTGCTCATCACAGTAAGTGCCCTCCTTAATTCCCATCACCTATTTTCCCCATCCCCCCGCCCACTCTTCTCTGGTAACCATCAGTTTGTTCTATATAGTTAGGAGTCTGTTTCTCGATTTCTCTCTCTCTCTCTCTCTCTCTCTCCCTCCCTCCCTCCCTCTCCCTCTCTCCCTCTCTCCCTCTCTCCCTCTCTCCCTCTCTCCCTCTCTCCCTCTCTCCCTCTCCCTCTCTCCCTCTCTCCCTCTCTCCCTCTCCCTCTCCCTCTCTCCCTCTCTCCCTCTCTCCCTCTCTCCCTCTCTCTCTCTCTCTCTCTCTCTCTCTCTCTCTCTCTCTCTCTCTCTCATTTTCCCGTTGCTCATTTGTTTTTTTTTCTTAAATTCCTCATGTAAGTAAAACCACACAGTATTTGTCTCCCTCTTATTCTTAATTATTATACTTATTTCCCTTTAGCTCCATCCATGTCATTGCAAGTGGCAAGATTTCACTCTTTTTTGTGGCAGGGTAATATTTCATTATATATATATATAACATATAATATATATATATAATGCAATCTCTATC